TTGGTTGTAGTTTTTTCTTTTTTTTTTTTTTTTTTTTTTTCTGACAAAGGATATTCCAGGATGAGGTGAAACCGGATAATGTCCAGGTGAATTTACCAATTAATTTTCTTCCATTTTTATGCTGTCACTCTGATTTAATTTCACCTAATTTGCCAAGGCTATTAGCAGAGAAAATACAAGAAGTAATGACTTGTGGAAGTAGTGCTTTGGAAGCCCTTATGACAACCAGAGGTTGTGTGGTAATGACCATATAGAGCTGTCATTAAACTGACCTCCTCTGAGAAAGCAGGTGTGTCGGAGGAAGTGACAAGGAAGTGAGTTTTTCTTGGGAAGTTATAGTCAAACCGATCAGTGGTCAGATTTGAATGTTGACATATGGTGCAACCACTGAAGATATGGATACGCCTCTGAGAACACAGGGGGTTAAAAGCAGAGAACTCTCAGGGAAATGCTGTCTTTTGTTCCGGTCAGTGAAGAGTTCAGACATCCCCTGCCCAGCCACAGGTTGGGTGGGGAAGGGGAAGCCATGCAGCCTGGGAGAGGTAGGCCAGGAATCTGAGGCAGAGAAGGAGGTGAAGGGCTGACCCCTGCAGGATGGGAGGGTGGAGAAACACTGAGATGCCCCAGCCAGCCCCCCTCAGAGGGAGACAGAGCCCGTGCCACCTGGAAATTTGATATCATGTGCCGGCAGTACACCGCTGGCAGAGGAGAAAAGGAAGGGGTAGGGGAAGGTGCCCAGCCCTGGGAGTCCTGGGAAATCTACTGTGAGATTTCAGTCCTCATGAGGGGAGCAGAGCTTCGAAGGCCGAGATTTTAAGCCCTTCTTGGACAATGAAAGCTTTGTGAAACATTAATCCTCCTTGATCTGAGAGAGAAGAGAGACTACCTTGGGGCCTGAGATGGCAGAAGAAGATGGGAAAGAATCCTAGGTGGGAGGAGGTGATGGAGTGGATTTTGGCTGGGCTTCTTCTTGTGTAGCCATAGACTGAACCACTTTTCCTGTAACACAGAGACTGCATTTAGGGGGATGCAATGGTTTGAGCCAAGAGAGTGACCTGCTGCAGTGATTGCCAGTGCAGGAGTGAGAATGACCGGCTGCAGTGATGCCATGTGCAGGAGAGGAGTGAACAGAGGAAGATGAGGAGGGTGTGATGGTGCCCTCTGTCTTCAGGGAAGAAGATTTCTGTTCTCAAGACCCTTGGCCCCAGGGGAATTAAAATTAGGGGGGACTGTTGTCTCAAAATGAGAAATTATTGATTTTGGTACTTGGCAAAGCATCCTTAAAAGGAACCCTGTAAGCAGTTTTGGTCCATGCGTGGTGGTGAGAGCACTGTACATGGATGGAAGATGTCACAATGGCAGATTTTCTCTGGGAAGTGCCATGTGTGACACTGAAACATCAGAGGTTTCAACTGTGTTTCCTGTGGAAGACCATGGTACAAGAGAGACTCCTCTTCCCCTTGATGAACTGAGAATTGATTATCTGAGGGGTGGTAACTTGATGAAGAGTCCAAGGTTTTGTCTCAATGTGCTTTGGTGGAAATTGGGTGGGAGGAGGAGAAATCTTTTAGAAGGTTTTCATTCTGTTTCCTGTGTGTTCCTTTTATTATAGTGTAGGTTAATAAAATTTTTTTCTTTATTTCTAAGCTTGAGCCTGCTCTGCTCTGTCTCTGGTCACGTCTCAAAGTAGCCATTTGAGAGTAGCTATACAGTAGCCATATATAGAAAAATACATTTTCATGGGTGCACTGGCACTGCGCCACTGCCAACCCATGGCAAGGTGTCAGCGAGCAGTTTACTGTGCCTTAGGTATCATTTTGGCGAAGGGAATTCCCGTGGGAATACTGCTCCCTTGCTCAGTGTAAGACTTGTAAAATGGTCAGTATTTTTCAGTCACTTTTCCATCTTATTCATAATTTTGTGCTTACCCTTTGACTGAGGCCATGAAAAGGCTGAAGGTGTTTGATTAAATCACACAGAAACGGGTGAATTGAGACCAATGAAACCAGAGCTATTTCCTTTCCTACTCACAGTCATATGTATTTACATTAGCCAAGTATCAGATGATGTCTGTGTAAAAAAACAGAAAGAGCAGAAAGGCTTATCTCCTCTTGTATATTTCCAGTGTATGTATTTTCAAACACAAGATCCAAACCTAACTGCAGGCCAGATAGACTTCTTCAATAAAACCCAACCCATTCGAGGGTGCTGAGGGTGGGTTCTCCCCTTTGAGAAAGAAATGTCCCAAAGAAGTGGGGAGACAAATGCACAGGTTTATGCATGTTCATGTAGCCTAAATCTGGTGCTGTATCGTCTTTTTCTTGGTGCCTGAAGCTTGGTGTGATGACTCCACAGAGGCTCCAGCATCCTGCTGTGTTGTTTTTAGCTATCCTACAAACTGTGGCAGAGCAAGCAGAAGACTCATGCTGTTTTAGAGACTGCATAAACTAATTTTAGAAACAGCTTGGAAGGGGAGGATGAGGTTTACAGCAACAATATTGTGTTGTTTCACTACTCTAGCACCAACATATTATAAATATATTTCAACGTTTTTAAATAAAGTAAAACCTTATTTAATACTGACCAGCAACACAGTAGAAAATAATATTGCAACAATAATTTTCAGTGAAACCTGGTAATTTTGAATTAGAAGAGGCTTCTTCTAAGGAGGAAATAAATACAAATCACAAAAAGCATATGTTGTGTTGGCAGTAAGCAAACATTGGCATGTTGGCAAACATACTGGCATTTCCTTTGGTGCTCCTTACTTTCCTCTTGCAATGAGCTTTGTTTCTAATCAGTCAATCAGGGAGAAATCTGTTGCCCTCTAGATATATCTAGATCTTTCCCTTCCTTTAACCTCTTCCATTAAATGCCTCTTACAAGACAAGTGGGTGGTCACAGACCCCTTTCAGCTTGAATGAAAACACTTCAAAGGTACTTGATTAGCTCAGTGGATACAAGGCCTCCTATCTGCCCCCTCCACCCCCCACCAAGTTTAATATCTCCAAAGTATCTACAGCTGATGGACAGACTGCTGAAAAATAATCTCTTATTCATTTATGTATCTTGCATGGTTATGTCTTTTTCCAAATTAGTAATTTATGAAAACATCCAGAATGCATTTTAGAATAGATGAAGCAAACAACCCCCCCCCTTTTTTCTTGTTGTTGTTGTCTGTTTCAACATTTATATTTATATTTATTTGAAATATATTATTTTGGTTTAAGTAAAAAAAGATGTTTGGGACTTGACTGACAGCTAGTTTAATTCTACAGAGACATATCAGAAAAATAACACTTCCACATTTGCCACATAGCTAATCTCAAATACATAAAATCCATTATTCATCTCAGAATGACTTGTGACAGTACATGTCACATATGAACTGTATGTCAGATGCCCTAAGCTCCTAGAATGCCCAGAAAATTGTGAAGTAATGATTACTCGGTTCTAAAAGGAACCAAAAAGATAATTTTTTAGAGCCTGTGTTGCACAAACAGCATAGTTCTGCATCCCCATCTCATGCTGTAGACAGAGGTTACTTCCACAATCCATGGCTATCCTGACATAAAACTTCCTCTCTACAAACTGGACCTTTTCAGGCTATTGTGCTGACAGTGTAAGCACTGAAGGTAATAAAATACTGAATCTCCATTCATGTTATCCCTTGGCCCTGACTGCTTTACAACCACATAATATATTGTACAACATAATTAACTGCTCTTACATTGCTTTCAGTATTTTATGCCCTGTTACTTCATTTATTCTCTGAAAATATTTTTTGTAATTTAATCATTATGAAGTCAGATGGTGGGTTCTTACACATCTGGAAAAAAGGCAGGTTGAACACAATCTTTTAATTAGCAATAATTACTTGACTCTTTTATGGTGCTTTGTTGTAAGCCTAAACATGGTAATTATGTTATTCATATTATCATATTACCAGTGCACTAATATTGAGGTTTTTTCTGGAGAGTGTTGAGAATTCTGACTCCAGATAATTTTTTCAAATGATTAAGTATACAAAAAAAGAGCTAATTGGACAAAGAGCTTTTTTAAATTTCCCAGAATAGCTCCTGATATAAACACAGATCAGGATTGAAGACTAGAGACAGGACATATGTCTGCTTTGGAACAGAGGTAAGTGCACAAGCATCTGAATTTATCTTTGTTGGTTGCAGGACACCAAGAGAAAAACCTGGTGTTTTTAGTGCCCTTGGATGCTGCAGCTTTGCCTGTTAATCCATTTCTTCTGACAAACAGGGGCTTTCACAACATAAGCTAAAACTATTGGCACGCCAGCAGGGATCTTCTGAATTACAGCTCTTGGGATTTAGTCTGGAACTTGTTTTTCATCTTTATAAATTTTTTTTTAATTGGATGGCACGCGTGCCCAAAGAGGTAATTATAACAGTGAAGGCTCTTTTATTAGCTGGTGTACTAACTCTTTACATTACTCAAATAGAATATGGAAAATTGATACTCCTTATTTGCCTGAGGACAGTCAAACTCACAAATCCGTGGGAAGGGTACAGCTTCTATTTTGGCAGCTGCTTGGATGCAGATGAGACCAGCTTCTCCTCATGGAGTTGTGTTTTGGCACACTAATAATTCAGAGTCCTCTGAAAGAGAAAAGGGAGCGATTGAGGTAAGTATATTAATAAACCTAAATCTATATAACTAGCTTTTAGGAATTCACCAGGGAGGGAAGACAGCTGATTTGGAAAAAGCAGAGAGTTTAACCAACCCATCCTCACTATGGCACAAAACACTAGCTTATGGTGGAGAGCTGAAGTGCCACCTGTGGCTGTTTTCTGTATTGTATATGATGCTCACTCGATAAACTGTGGTAAATATTTTCAGAGCAGGTTCATCACGTCAAGCATATTCCTGAGCAGAAGAGGAGTTCACTGCTACTTCATCTGTGAATCCTGAAATATGGAGTGTGAGACTTGCTCTGAGCTCCCCAGCACAGCTACTGCTGAAGCGTGGCAGAGTCAGGGGAGTGCCGGGGTGCCTGGGCTCCCTGCATGAATGTCTGCAGCAGCTCCCTGTCATCGCTGCAGCGAGTCTGCTCCGGCTGCAACCCTGATGTAGAGTGAGGTCTTGGTCGTGATCTCAGGTTCATCCTAGTCTGCTCTGCATATGTTTTAAAAGTCTAGCTCTTTGGAGCTCCTTTGTGGTGCATTTGCAGTAGCTCTGATGTGGCTAGCAGAGATCTACTGCATCCTGGCTGCCAGCCACCTCCTGGACTGGGATCCCGAGATTAATGGTTGCAGTGACTTGAAACACTCCTGGGAACAACTCTAGGTGGCTCTAGGTAGCCCAATAACTTTTAATGGTGAGTATCTATCGGATGTATATGTCTCTAGAGCAGGCAGTAGCTGAGCATGCTGTTTTAAGGAAGGTTGCAAATTTTGATTGGAGCCTCTGAATTTATTTCTTGGATCTGTCTTTTACTTCTTCTCAGCTAAGTTGGTATTTTATATTTTAAGATATATTCCCTCTAAGGGAATCTTAGAGTTTCTTTTAGGTAACAGATGAATCAATTGAAATGACAGTAGAACTGTGGGTGGTTAAATCATGAGTCAAGAGGTATATTTGAAACCATACTTGATATAATCATTGGACATTTTATCCAGAATACTCCTGTTTTTAAAAATATTTTCCACATTGCCTCATTTAATACACTAAAAGTTTTAATGGAAATGAATTGGTGAATGGAATTCAAAAAGCAGTTGAAAATTAAATACTTTCTATCAAGGCAGTGATCACTTCAGGCTTTAAAGATAATAAGTTTGATGTTCTAATCAAAGGAAAATGGCATAAAGTTTCATATGCAATGCAATATAAGCAAAGATTTTGATTGTTCTCCACAAAATATTCTCAGTCCTTGTTAAACTGATTAGGGGTTGTATTTTTCAAATAGCAGCCTAATTTTTGAGTTTCTTAGTAAAAATCTGGAGGCTTTTATACTTTTTGTCTGGTGTCATGCCAGCTGAAGTCTCATAATTAGACACTACTGTGTTGCTTAAATTTGTGTATATGTGTTTCACAAATACTTAATGTACTTTGCAAAATATATATACAAATGCACTTTATGTTAATTAATGTTAATTCAGTCTGTCAGTAAAGCAGAAATGAATTATTGTATTCTTTATTATCTTGAAGTGAGATGCACAGAGATTAAAAAACTTTCTAAGACTTAGAGGTAGTTGTTAGGGGTCAGCCTAATGCCTTTGCTAAGAAAAATCCTTCCTCTCTGGTATTTTCCTGAGCCGTCAAAGTAGGAGCAAGAATGAACCACAAATCTATCTAATTTCTTGCCTTTCTGGAATGAAAACCTTGCCAATATATTTTAAACAAAAGGAACTACCTCTAAAATGCAAATTGCATCCAGGGCACTAAATTCTGCCATCTTATCCAGGCACAACAGGCTCCAACATCGGATCCTTACTTCCTTAGGAGTTTGACTCAACACTGATATTTTCATTGAGTTTCTGCTCACAGCATCTAGGAAGAATCAGCTACTGAACCTACATTGCTTTTGTAGGAAAATAAGTTGGAACGGAATGATCCAATAAAGTATTCATTACTAAAAAGGAGTTGGTTATGATGTTTTGTGCCTATGACAGTTATTTGCATGAATATTTCATTAACACGTTTTTTACAGCTATCACAGAGACTATAGGTAGCTGTTGATTGGACCTCCTGCAACACAGTGATTATGTTTCTGAAGCAGCCAGATATCTCATGCCTGTGGTGGGCAATCACTATTTCTGATTTTTATCGGCTTTCAAGAGTAATCAAGTGACAGTTACCAAGTAGTGTAGCTGCCTTGCTGACTCAGAGTTGCCTTCTATGTATTTTAATGATGTTATGATCCCACTCGCTTCTTGGGGTGCCAAAAAACCCTTTACCGAGGTTTCAATGCCTGTTTTATTAGTTATGTCAGTTCAGTTTAAGTAGTCAGACACAAAAGCTTTTACTTGCATGCACACCAACAGGTAGTAAAGACCTTAATGATCATAGATTTTAAGCTGTAGTCGATAATGAGTGTAGAGTGCAAGAGAGGGCATAAAACTTTGTAGTAGTTAAGATTATTTTTACTTTGGGAATGTTTTAATTTCATGAGTTTAAAAAAAAGCTTTTAAATTGACTTTTTTAATGTCAATTTAACTTTAATGTAGTGCTACATTTTTAAGTGGGAAAAGAGGGGGTGGGCAGAAATGACATCTGAAGATGAAAATAAAAAGTAAATACCAATTATTTCTGTTTTATACCCATCATAAAAATATAACATAGCAGATGCTTCCATGACATCTTCTAAAAGTTGGGTGTTTATTGTGTGCATATGTTCAACATCGAACATAACTAATTTTCCTCCGTTCATCTCAAATTAGGGAGAAGTCGAGCATCAGCAACTCTACAGACAATGACAACAGCAAGACCTAAAAAATGCAAGGAAATGCAGAATAAGATGAAGAAAGAAAACCAAAAGGATGAGTGTGGAAAAGATACAGCAAGTTTAAACCAAATGGAGATAAGAATAAAAAGCTATGCAAAAAAAGTGGATGAAAATATTAGATATTGACCGAGGATAAAAATTTTAAAATACAAGAGGTTTTTTAAATACAGCTCACTGGGCTTGGTTGTGATGGGAACAGAGCTGCTAAATAGTGACTGCGTATGACAGACAACTGATTCTCACTTCTTTTCTCCCTATGCTGTCAGGAGGGAGTTGTTCATGAGTTGTTTTCCTGTGCTATTAGAAGGGTTTGATCCTGAAATGATGGGTTTTGCATAAGAGAGAAAAACCAGCCTGATGAAGTTTTGTCTGTGTGCGGTGGAGGAAAATATTCGAGAACTGCTACACAATTTGAAATGTCCATCATCTCTGGATTCAGAAGGCTCATTCCCTCCCTGTAAAAGAGACCCTGCAAGTGTTGCTTCATCCCTGAAATTTATCACTAGAGGCTGACATGTAACAAAGGCACAGAGCCACAGAAACTGGTCTTATACCTTCTTTTAACTGTGCCTAAGGCCCATGGATCACTGCCATGTTAAAAATCTTGTTGTAAAGCTAGGAAGGGTGTTTCAGTGCTGGCTCACAGACTGTGCACAGCACTGCACTGGTGAGGTAGTTATAGTACAGATGATGTGTGGGTCCAGTCAAACATCTCCACCCTAGTGCTATGTGCTATGTAATGTCCCTAATTTTCCAGCTACTGGGAAAAAACTGGTGCTGCAATGTGTTGAATGGCCAGAGCTACCCTCAGACAGAATTACCTCTGTGATCTAGCACTTCTCAGCAGATATAAATCTTCTACAAGGACATTAGGGGCTTGCACATGTACCTGGACATTTGCTAAAGTACCCAGTTTCTTTAGGCTCTCAGAAGCATGAGTTCAGATCTCTTTAGCATAACAGCTTTTTGTCTTAATGTAGAATTTCACTACTCTTACTTTTAGGTCCTTGCAAGAAAGAATGTCTCAGTTAGCCATAAAAAGAGAATGTAACATATGGAACCGGTTTTTTAAAGTGATTTTGATGGACACTTCACAACAGTCTATATTACTATTTACTCCCAGCAGGAGGTAGGCAAAGATGTGTGGGTGGATGGCAGTCAAGACTGTGGGCTTATCAGCTTGGCAGACTGCAGTATGGTGCAGTGCTACTGCGGATCACCTCAGACAGGCTCATTCACATACTCAGGTTTTAGCCATGGCAGTGTGGAACAGAGCATCAACCCCTTTTCCTCACAGGGAAGTGCAGTGGAACACTGTTCACTAAACAGGTGCAGGTAGTGTGGCTGGACTGTTCTTGCCTCCAAACTGTTGTGTGAATCTTACACTGCAAGTAAACATGCATTGTAAAAAGCAGAATATCAGTAACAAGAGTCACTCAGTAAAGAGTAACTGGAACACTCAGGCAAAAGAAGATGAATTTACTTGAGCAAAGATTTTACTTTTGTGGTCTGTTTGATTCCCAGGTAGTAAGCCTCAACAAAAACATGTGGCATGACTGGCATACTGTTCAGTAGCCTAGCAAGGACTAATAGCTAAATACATCTTGAACATAGGATCACCCACAATCCATTTTGCACATTAGGTTGTCCCTTCTGAAATAAGGTTCATAGAGCTTGGAGGATGCAGACAGCGATGATGACAGACTTGGGATTTACTCCAGGAAGAACTAAAAGGGCTTTAGTCTGCTCTGGGATGTCAGTCTTTGACCTTATGTAGAGATAAATGAAGAGAAGGTCAACAGAAGGGAAAGAGGGACTATTTCATGATATTCAGCAGAGACATTGAACAAATACTGTGATACTGAAGTTGCTCTACTGCATTCACCCTTACTGAGAATTCTGTATTCAAAAGATAAATATATACAAGACTTCTGGGTCTGAGTGTATTACAAGCCATTTATTTCATTCCCTTGTTAAATGTTTTAAAATAAGATTAAAGACTCTTTATAAGATGGCTTTTTACTGAGCTGATGTATAATTCCTTTCAGGGTGTGAAGTGCCTTGATAAGCTTCAGTGACAAGGGGCTTTATAAATTAGATTGTATTATATACAAACACAATACAATTTGTAATGGAAAGATAATCTTGTCTCTACTTTGCTTATACTTTATACTTCTTTTAAGTTCAAATGCTTTATTCAAGCCAAATCCAATATCAGAATTAGGTATTATGACACATTCTTTTACGAACAAAAAGCTGTGCTTTTTTTATTCAGTTCGTTTAAAACAATTTTCACAAAGGTAATGTCAGAAGATTTTGACAACTAAAATTGACATGAAAAAGCAGTTAATTTTGAGGCTTGCATATGATTATGACATTTATTAGTGGAACTTATTTTGCTTCTTATCTGCTACCACATCTGTTCTTCTAGTATGGGATTGGTAGAAGCAGCATGGCCAGTATGTCAGTAAAACTGAGTTCTATATTTACAATTTTTATGCCTTTTTTGTATATTCACAAGGGAACAGAATCTGATCTGATGAGATTTTTTCACTTGTTTCATTTTTTGGAAGGCAGTAGGTTAGTTTTTCAAGTTTAATATCTCTACAGTCCTTGGAGACATAGATTTTCATTTTTCAGTGGAAATCAATCCCCAAAAGAGAGACTTGAAAATTAACTCTGTCAATAACACTAAAAAAAATAATGCCTAAATTTTTTCCCTTTCCCTGCATAACTAATAAAGATTGCAGATTGTTTTCCCATGAATGTTTTTCAATGACCCCAAAATTCCATGAATTTTGGGGTCAGCATTCATCAGACTTATATCTGCAACGTCCCAGTTTGCTCTCCCATTTTCCTTTGAAAATGTGTTTTAGTGGTACCTGTGAGTAATACTGAGAAAGTTATTGAATGTATGGCTGATGACGCTGTTAAACTTTTCCCATTTTGTACTGGTAATGCAGATGAGTGGGGGGAAAAGGACTACTTTCAGTATACAGAACAAAGCCCAAGTCACCATGTTGTGGGAGTACTATGAATTCTCATTTATCTACTTCTCCACCACACTAAAAAGCTGGTATCACATACTTAAGGAATGGCTCCTAAAATTACAAGTCTAAATAGAGGACTAATTGCTTTTTTGACTTATTTTAAGGCAATAGACAGGTAGAAGATCTATCATAGTTCATGAAAGAAGTGCCAAGGTTTCACCATTTGATATATATTGAAATAGGAGCTGTAGACACTGACATTTCTGAGGGGAAATTTCTCTTTTCAAGACTTTCCTTTGTATTATTTGTCCCATGAGAACCATACAGTAGAATTCTTAACCAGTAAGTGTGATGTGTGACATACATCACCATCATCTGGGCATTTCTGAACTTAAATCTCTTCAGTCAAAAGATAACAATTTGTAGTGATAGGGTGTCTTTGCTTTGCAGTCCATATTCAGACCCTTCAGCTCCTCGATCACCACTCTAGAGAGATGTCGCAGCATCATGGCTGATCAGTCGTCTCTGCCTACAGCTGCTCTCCCTCTGCAGACATTCATGAGAATCAAATGTTTAGGTTTTCCTTCTGCATATGGCTACAAAAGGGATAACAGCATGCTGAAATTTCAGAAGACGTTGAATGGTGGTGTTACAGAAACTACAGGACTTCTGAACCTTTTAGTTAAGATTTTAAGATGCTGTGATGAGTGTCTGTGATGAATCTACCATTTGTGTTTGGTGAGACAAGATAATAATTTGAAGCAGCACTTGGTTATTCTTGGCCTTTTTTCAGAATTGGTTCCGATAGCAAAAAACTTTACAGCTGGTCCGTTTAGATTTGGGTGGCCAAACTTGAGTGTAGGAAAAGAAAAAGGCCTATATGCTCTTAAGGAATATTGAAGAATTTTCCACTTGCTCAGAATATAGAAGAATGTGTCAATGTTTGATTTTGGTAAGCTATAAGTAGGAAATGTTTTCCTGGCTTACTTATAATGGAGTTTTATTTCGTGTTTGGATCTTGAAGTTTTGGGCGATCGGTTTAAAGCGATACTCGTCTTTCAGATCCTACCAAACAGATCTCACCTTTGATATTCTGTTTTGTATATCCTTCATGCTCAGAGATCTGTGCAGAAAAAGTGAGCAGGGTAATGGAGTTAAGATCAGCCATGCAGATCTGGAAGAATAATGTTGTCTTTAACAAACACTCTAGCCTGGTTCCATTTTTTATTTACTGAGGAAAGAACATACATTAAGAAGGCCTGACTTTTTTCTAAGATGATGTGTTTTCCTAAAGCCTTAGCTTGGAGATGTTGTGCTCTTGTTTGTGTAATTTAAAATGCAATAATGACAGAAACAGAAGAAAAGAGAATTAGCATACATTGATTATGCATAGTCAATAATGAACTTTAAGCACTTTGTGAATAAATGTGAGATAAATGTCACAAACACAGCACTTAGTAACAGAATGAAACAATAAAGAAAGAATAACTAAATAGGAGTAAATAGAAGCAAGGAAGGACATAAGGTTATAATTTAAATAATTGATTAGGGGATCCAAGGTATGCCATTTAACATACAGAGACTCAGGTTTAATTGAGTCTCTCTTTCATGGGAAGGCTGTGAATTTAAAATGATCCCAGTGTCTTGCATTTATTGAAACCATTAAAAAAATAGCTTTTAAAGAAGTAGTTGGGAAAATGTCAAATAATTTTCAGGAGAACTTCCAAAATAATATATATAAGATCAACTGTGATAAAGACAGCCATGGTAAATGACTTAGAATATTGCTCAAGCTGAATTCAAGTTACACAGATCAGAGAGACTTCTGGAAGATTTCACTTATTGCAAACTCCTGTGGTTGTAGAACAGTGAAAAAAACCTGAATGGACATAAAGGAAGGCATAAAGGACATAAAGTGACTTCTGCTTTCCAATTGTTAAGTGTCACACAATTCTGCCTTAGGAGAGTTGTAGGAATATTGTAGGTGGATGTGAGACAGGGTGTTTGCAATGATTTTTTAAAAAGATTAAAAGAGGGCATTTAGTCCCTCTCTGTCCATACATAGGAATAAGTGACCATTGCATTTTTTTTACTAACTTATAAAATGCCAAAGACCTAAAGAACTATTATGACTCTTTTTTTTGTGTAGACTATTCAAGCTGAAGTCTTTATACTGACATTGATATTGACTAATTAAAACATATTTATTTATATATATGCAAAAGATTGAGTAATTTATTTGTCTAGGCTGTCTGACTGATATGAAACATCTGCAACTTATGCTTCCTCTACTGTCTTGCAGTAGTCATGTGGCTGATCTTTATTAATTCTGGGATCTACTCTAGAGCTATGCACTTTTTTCCTTAGGTTTGTAGTCATTTGACATTCATTTGATTTCCCCTCTACTAGTCAAAATTGCATGTTACCACTTTCATCAAAGTCCATCAGACACCAGACCATTCCTTCTTTCATAAAGCCTTATTTCAATTTCTGACTTTGTCATTCACAATACAGGTACTTCAGGCTTGATCTCATTCACAAGTTTTATAAGCACAATAAGAAGTTTAAATTGATTACATCATTCATAAATGATTAAATGTATCATATTGCAGAAATTTAATTTTGCATATGGTTATGATCTGGGATGAAAGGAAGTCAGAATTTTTAATGAATTTTGTGTAAATTAAGATTAATGTCATATCCATTCATCCCAAGAGTAGCATTTACTTAAAATTATAGGAACTTTACATTGATCTGTGTAAGAAATAAAAGAAACACATTATGTAAAATTATTGATTATTTAAATTCTCCTTCATATGTTTAAAATAATTCAATAATATTTTTAAATTAGTTTTTGAAACAGTAGCTGAGTAAAAGTTCATGAACAATGCATTTCTGGGAATTTACAGAAAGAATTTTTATCTGAGAGTCAAAGTGTCCTAAGTAATTTTTTATTAAACTGGACATGAGGAACATGATCCATGACTGGTACAAATATCATAAACTTTATTTACTAGTCTGTGTGATCCCACTTGTACACACAAAACTGATTAAGTCTCCAGTGAAACAGTTTCAGTATTGTCTTTATTTTAATTTAATTTTAATTTCAGTAGTTTAATGGAAAGTGGTTTGTGAATAAGTGTTGAGTCATTGTTAAGACATATTGAAAGTATATCAAAGTGGAAAGACAATGAAATTTTAAAGTTCAAATCAAAGAAGGTTTGACTTTTTTAATAGTAAATAATATAAGACATAGAGCAAAAATACTATAATATACAAAAATGCTAAAAATATTAAATCCCATCTTTTAAAAGTCATCATATTAAAATTGATAAGTGCATTTTGTCACCAGACAAATAAAGGAAAGCTTCTAGAGTCATCAGTGTAAGATATGAAAGGCAGAAAAGCAAGGCTCCCTTAGTTCCGGAGAAAACTATGGAATGCATTCTCCTATGTCTTTTTAAAAATTGTGGGGGTTTTATAATTTTAAAGTTGAAGCACAGTTTTGAAATGCATGTGTCATTTCATATTTCTCCCTGCTTTGAGTTGGGAACCGGACCAGAGAACCTCCAGATTAACCTTGTAATCTTATTTAATGTACAATGTCTGTGGTACATAGGCTACAGGTTGCTCTGTTCTTCACCAGTCAGGTTGTTGCATTTCTACTGTGAAACTTCTGTAAAATCATGGGAACTCTTCCTGTACTTAAATCAAGATGAGAATGAATTATTTATGAGATTGTTTCTCTCAACAGGCAATGATGTCTTGTCACTTCCTTGGAAAACAAAACAAAACAAAACAAAACCAAATAAACAAAAACCAAAATAAAACACCAAAAAAAGGTTATTTTTTAATTAGCATACCAGAAAATTTTGGAGGGGGTGGGGGGACTAGAATGGAGGAATTTTGGTAGGAAAGTGTAATATGAGATAAATAAATTTTAGTAGCAAATTGTTGCTTTATTGTAAATTAGAGGAGAAAAATATTTTCTTAACTATCATCTCCTACATATTATTTTTGAGG